GCTGAAATAAAGAGCAAAAGTGATCAGGAACTGGATTTAGTCCCAGAGATGTCTGGCAACTGTCACACATTTATACCAAGGCATTCCTAATCCTATTAGTTGGCAAATACTAAATAGCTGGCTGCCTGCCTTGTAGGTGAAACAAAACCTTGCTGTGTCTTTCAACACAGTATGTTTGTCAACTCCTTCTACTTACAACTGACATGTAGCAGAGACAAATAAGCTTCCTAGCAGCTTACAAGTGTATCACACCAGCTTTTTGCCAAGAGACTTTTCTCTCAAAAGGTCTCTGAGGGAAATAAAATAAAATAAAGCAGACTGTACAAAGATCCACAAACACCACAACTTGGAATGTAATCTAATCATAGCTAGCACTCAAAAATAAATGTGCTAACAAAAAACTAATGGTTCTGTGAAACACATTCGAAACAGAAAATCTAGGCAGTGAAAAACAGTAATCCCTGCAAGTAGCTGAAGTGAAAACAGTGAGCAAAGCACAGCCACAGCTTGAAATATTTTGCTCTGAAATTCTACCATGAGGATGGGTAAAAACACCCTTCTTGGGAACTAAGCCTCGTGCACTGCCCATCAGTATGTCCCATTTTAAAATGAGAATGTTTTGCTCTCCTTTTTTCAATTTCAGCTGCCTTAGTACACAGCTCTGACAGGTCCTGATGTGAGACCTTCATGTAGCCACAGACAGTGCAGGGCTTTGCAGCGAAAAGCTGGCAACAGAAGCACACACACCCTCAGTCCAGAATGAAGGAGCTCTGAGAAGTCTTGCAAAGTCAATAAGGAGGTTTTTACACGCAGTAGAACTGCTGTGAGGAAGAGCTGGTCAGTTCAGCCGTTAGACAACGGTGGTTAGAAGAGGAGACAGCAAAGCCCCAAGACACCTGGCTGAGTTTCCACTAGAGGGTGCACGAAGTCCATCTCCTGCAGCAAAGCCCAAGTTCAGCCTGGCTTCCCCAGGCTCAGTCAGCTCTTCCAGAGGGTTCCAAAATTGTTACAGATGGCCAGAAAGCCCTTCTGTTATTCCTTTTTTATTGAGACTGTAGACAATGATCCCAAGTATGTCCAATAAGGCAAACTAGAACATTGCTCCTAACAATGCTTTAAATCATCCTTTAGCAGCCAACTTTACTTCTAAACCCCAACCTCTAAGACTTCAGAAATGCCTCAAGTTTACCCTACTCCTATCAGTTTTCCCAGTTTTTTCTTATTTTCTCAAATGTGCCAGACAATTTTCAATCTCTGTGCCCGAAGAGCCTCTCAGTGTCTCCAGAAGCACTGAACCAAAGCAAAGCAATACAGTAAGAAAGCTGAAAAATAAAGACTGAAAACAGCTGAAAATGTTTAAGACTGAAGGTGCTGGTAGAGTGTCCAGCAGTGTCCTGTGTTCATCGCAAGGAACCCTCTACTTCACTTAAGATACTATAACAAAATAAATCCCTAAAAACGAGCATAACTAAACATTTATGAATGCCTGCAAACCAGGCAAGTACCTGAGCCATCAGGTGGTTATTTCAAACCCCAGCTGCAGTGCTGTGTGATGTGCTGGATGGAAAGAAGGAATCCTTACCATCTTGGAAGACTCTCTCCACATTGAGTCCGTAGGTGGCACAGGTTTCATAGTAAGTGCATCTCTTGAGATCATTCGATAACTTCCTGGCCCGGGCATCGTCTATGACCCGTGGGTTGCTGGAACTGATGGCATCTGCAGCAGCACCAGGGAGAAAACACAGAACTAAACATCCTTCTTATAATTACCAACACCCAAGCAGTGAATTTCCATACAAGCCATGACTTCCAGATTACTTATTTTTGTTTAGGACACAGAGGAACACAGGATTCTAAATTTATACTTCATTATGAAAATCACCAGCACAGATTGATTCCAAAAAAACCATGGAAAACCTAAAATCCTTGTTACCTTAAATATAGATTTAGCTCACTAGCTGCAAAAACCCACAATCATATGAAAGAATATGAGCTCAGATGTGACAAAAAAACAAGTGGGTGATGAGGCCTCCTAGAAATACCAGGCTCAGATAAAGAGTGAAGCACAAAACATGACATGTTTGTATGAAGAATATTTGCAGCAGAGAAACAACAGGATGGGGGGAGAAGTGGTACCAGGTGTTGCTGCAACACTCAGGGAAAGCGAGTTAGAATGTGTTATGATTGCACATAAGAGATTCTTTTATTTAAAAAAAACAACCCAGCCAACACTTAAGACAACGGGGAAAAGAATACTGACGGCAGATGAGAGGTAACAAAGCTGTGCAGACTGTCACTGTCACACCAGGAGATACTTCATGTACTCACAGGCTGCACTGCTGACCTGGCTCCCAAGGCTGGAGCCAGGAAATCTACTGTAAATTGTAAATTTTGAGTCTCAAAACCTTGATGTAGAAGCACCCATGAGACCTTGTGTGACCATATTGCAAGGCCAATAAAATGGCATCTTTCCAAACAAATAATACTACCTCCTGCCTCCCTGCAAGAGCTACTTCTCATGCATAATTTTTGAACTCCCATTTCTAGAGCTTATCTGTAGGAGCCAAAAAAAACCCCACCTTAGACCAGAAATAAAATTACAACCCTGTTAAGAGACAAAGGAGAGGCTCCTTCACTGCTACTCCATCACAGCCAAGACCTCCACAGAGGTTATGCTGCTTGACCAGCCATCAAGTGATAATGCTATGAACAAATCTTAAAAAGCAACTCTCCTTTTTTTCCCAAGGTGTGTCTTAGTAATTCTTGGCTCTGGCAAAATAAAAAAGTGTACCCTAAAGCAAGACAAGATTACTAGATATTGTACAAAACTCCATAGCTACCACCTTGATACCCTGACAGGCACCAATTCCAGCCTTTAGAGCTTCTCCAAAAGTTTTACTAGAAATCTGCTACCTGTGGCACCAAAATGCACTTGTTCTTTGGGAAAAAAGCCTCACTGTGACGTGAGCACGAAGCCAGTGACTGCTGCAATGCTGCATTTGAGGCTCAGTTCTGGGCAAGACATGGCTGTACCTCAGCTGATAACTCACTACCTTCTCATGACAGTAAATTAATAGAGTGGTGATTTGGAAAGCAAACAGCAGACTTTTTTTTTTTTTTTTTTTAATCAGCAGAGGGCACTGAAAACATTCAAGCAGAAAGGAATTGGTAGGTAACACCATGGCTTCCTAAAGTTTGACTTCTGGAGCAAATGAGGAGGAGAATGTCTGAAAGCATCAGGCCAGTGCTCATATTTTGGGAAGGATTTAATTCATTTGAACAATACAGGCCAAAACCAAAAAGCCTTAGGTCAAACAGGTATATTTCAAATCTTTTTAACAGGAATATTGATACATTGCTTATCATGGAACTGTTTTGACAGTTGATGTTTCCAAAAAGCTGTCTGTTCTTCTAACGCTTAATTAGCAGCATTTCCATCTTCAGTCACATTTTATAAATCCCCTTTCCATCAGTGCTTCACCAGCAAATAAACTTTGCAAAACCAAATTCCTTTCTGTTAGTATTGGGAATGAGATGGGAAACTATATCCCACAGTGTCAGAAATTAAGAAAGAGAAACAGTGCAGGGATATGTTTCCCCCTTTCCTTTTCCTACTCCAGTTAAAGCTGACAGCGTGGCCTTTCAAAGCAGTTCATTTCTGCTTTTTGGCTGCAGTTTCTGCTCTCCTAGGACTTTTTGTGTGCCTGCTTCCCTTTTTATTTGTTTCATCATCTGTTTCCGCCTGCAGCCAGTTGTGATTCCTCCTTCCGTGCTGCCCACGCTTCCCTGCCTGCACATGGCAGGATGGGATGCACTGGCAAAAGAAGGCAGGGAATATCCAAAAATACAGCTCAGCTGCAAAATAAACTATTGCTAGTACCTTTCCCTTCCCACATTTCCCCACAGGATAAGGGCAGCTGGCTGCTGCTCCAGAAGGGAGGGGGGCTGTTTCAGGAGGCTAAAAGCCACGTTTCCATTCGGTTTGAAGGATGGCACACCTAGATGGGGCAAGGGCACCACTCAGTTCTCTCTC